TCGGGTTACGACCAACTCGGGATACGCCCAGAGTCACGGAACGGATTAAGTTCGTATCCCGAGGTACCACTGTAAAGCTTGGAGTCATCACATTTATCTTAGACTTAAGTGTGGGGAGCCATGGGTTTAGCATTAAAGTGGGTCTTCTATGCTAGAGGGTGGTAGAAAGAGAAAATGGAAGCTAACTGATTTCAGAGTAGAGGTGACCAATTTAGATAGCACTGTACTAGGTATTCTCCTGAGATCATTGCTGAGAGTTCTGGGAACTGAAATCCCTATATCTGGAGGGCATCCATATTTGGAAAAGGTGCATGAAAAAACCTCCATAATGGCTTATATTATTTTGAACAGTTGTTGTGGTTCTATAAACCGTGGGTTGTGGCTTAGTATGTTATGTAACTCAGCCAATTATGTTTTTTCTGTAAACTATGATTAAGCAAACAATAGCTTAATCATCACTAAGCATTATAAGCCATTCTGGTTGACTAACATGACCACAAATGCCATTATTTTACTTTTAGCCCATACAACCCTTTAACCATGGCCAGTGACCCAGACAGCCACCATTTCTGGTGAGTGCTAATTCAATTGGAAACCAACTATTAGCTAGTTTCAGATTTCTCATTAATTTTAGCCAGTGTGAATGACTTGGCATCCCATGAAAAGACAGTCAGTGGCACATTTCATACATCATGCCAAGCCAGTTTTTAAACCATGGTTAGTTGACTAACCCACAATTGGCCAAATTCACACATTATACAAAGCCATAAAAAGGGGGAAGGAACTCATGGTCTCACAACCCTATTCCGCCCCAAGATAATTCTGCTAAAATTCAGGTAAAAATTCTTTTCAGCAGTTCAGGGTTTATTCCCCTCTGGGGCTTAATCACTGGTTTTCGGTAAATTCTCACCAAGTCCCTAGACACCAAAAAAGACAAACATTTCAGCACCTACGGACCTCATCACATCACATCACCACCTCACCCACTCTCAGCAGCCCTCAAAAGCCAAAAACGAAGATATTTTGAAATGAAGTGCTTTGCCAATAGTCTCCTGGCACAAGAACTCATGGGTGATGAGGCAAGACTGGAGGAAGTAGATGAGGCTTTTCTAATCCCCCTTCGCACACAAAGCAACTTTCATCAGACTTGCAGTGACTGTGTGCTATCAGAACCACCGAGCCTGGGTTAAGCATCTTGTGTAAACAGGGCCTCAGAACTCCCAACCACCTTAGTATACATCAAAGATAATCAGTTGAGAAGTCTCCAATTTATCTTGGCTATGAAATCACTGGATAAACTCAGTGCTCATCCCCGCAGCCTCTGAGGATGTGCTCTCCTCCTGATGTGACACTGGCTGCTCCGCAGTAATCCTTTGATCATACCAGAAACAACTTCCCTTCAATGAGGATTGCAGTTCTCTCTGCTGGTTTCATCAGGTGTCAGCCCAAAAAGGAAGACCAAACTAAGAAACCAATGCCATACAGATCAGGACTGCAACAGAATCTTGCAAGTCTGAGTCTGCTTCCCCCCTCCCTCACTTTATCTTTGTGCGAACTTGTGTCTAAGACATTTTCTCGAGTCATTTTCTTGGCCCAAGCTCAAGCCTCATTTATCTGACCATTGCCTTGGTAGCAGCTCTTCCTCCTGTCCTTCAAGGACATTCCCTGTGCCCTGTGCATCAGGGGAACAAGGAGTAGCGAAGAGGAAGGGGAAGTCTCCTCTGTTGCCTGTCCTTTCATGCCCCCCGCCCAACTAAGTACCCATCCTTCACCTTTCATGCTCCTCTCCCTTTTGCCACATCTTCCCTTCCACTCACTGGAGAACACCACCAGCGCCAACTTCAAATTCAAGAGCAGCAGTTGCTGTTAACTGCCGCCCTTAGAAGGATCTACAGTTGGCTCAGGTGCAGCAGTGATCTGGTGCTTCTATTTTTGGGGCTGATGGTGTTTTCCAGCAAGCATGGAAATAAGGGAAGGTGCAGTGAAGATGAGAGGATAAGGAAAGACAAAAGATTTGGTTTGGCTGGGGAGGCATGAGGCAGGCAGCAATGAAGGAGAAAAATCTCTTTTTTTTCCTCCAAAAAAAATTATTAAGCATTTTAAGGGAAAAACAAAAAGGGAACAAATAAGCAAAAAGGAAAAAAATGGTACAAAAATAGAATATCTATAAGTGGACAAAGGAATTGCCAAGATTGCGCAGCTAGTGCTCATCATATCTGACTAGAAATTAACCACAATCTTCTTCTACTTCCTTGGTCCTCTGAGAGCAGCAGATGCCTGCAATGGGGAGAGAGGCAGGTCAGTTGCACTGAGGTTACCACTAGGAATAGCAACTTTCCCAAGCCAAGAAAAAAGAGGTCCTGATCTCACCGGCAACCAAAGCACAAATGGCCACAGGGTTCCACCACCAATTGGAAAGGAGCTGCCCTGCAGTGGGCCAACTGGAGTCCAGGAGGTTGCCCACCTCCCTCAGGCTCCTCCTCCAGTGACACAGTCTTCACATAGGTGGTTTACCTCTGTGTTCTGATGGAGAAGACCGTTTGGACAGATCACTTTGAGCCAGCTTCAGCCTACTTCAGCAGCAGCAGCAAGTCCCTGGGATGGAGGCTCTGTTGTGAGGAAAGATCCCTAATCAACAAGCGGGCCCCTGCATAGCTGGGGCAAGGGGGTTATGTGGATGAGCCCATAGCCAAGCTGCTATTCTTCCAGCAGCAGGCTGAGAGGAAAGAAGCAACACCACCCACCATCCCCGAAACATGAGTACTTGCTGGCCCAGGATGTTCAACAGTTGCAGCCAGATGAATTGCACAATGGGAACACCCAGCTTCCAGCTTAATTCGCCAATTGCATCAGCAGAAATAGGCAGGAAGGTCAGTGCCAGCTTGCTAAAGCTTGTTCTTATGCGTGGAGAGCATGTCACCCATTCCAACTGCAGTGGGCAAACCAGAAGTCTCAGAAGATTGATTCCCCAGATCCTATGGCAGATAAAGAAGATGAACCTCCAGAACTCCTCCAGAGGAAGGAAAGAAAGGGTCACGGTTTTGCTGAACAAAGACAGGCATTCCCACAACCATGTTCCTGTTTTCACCAGTTTATTTGACACATTTGTATAGGGGAGGGAAGCATGAAGGAAACAATTCCCACCTATCCCACCAAGAATCATTAAAAAAAATCTCCAGCTCTGAGCAACTCAGCAAAGCAGATGTCCGGTCCAGCAGGCAAGCTACAGACAGGCGGTACAAAAGGTGGAACACAGCTACTGGCCTTGCTACCCCTTTTCCTGTCAATCATTTGTCTTTGTGTGGAAGCCTTGTGGCTACTCCATCGTTTGGGGGGGGCACCCATGGCTCCATTTCAAGGAGCAGGTCTCATTCGGTTTGCAGTGAATGCCAGATGGATATTTTAACATGTGCTAGCAATAGTTTGCTAAAGTATTTTCGGAGGGCATCTGGATTTCTTCATCATCCTGTAATCATTAGCGCACACACATACACCCCCCCACACACATTTTATTCCTCTTTCATTCTTTTTTTTTTTCTGTTTACCAGATAATCTATTTAGCAAGAAACAGAACAGAAATGCTATTCTACAAGGTAAAAGAATCTTCTGTAGTTCTTCACTCTCAAAAGTTCTGAGGGGATGCCCCAGTTCACTCACCCCTATCTACCAGCACTGTGGCCATTTTAAACAATAATTAAACTAAAATTTCAAAACACATGTTTGCTTTTTTATAATTTGTTCTATATCTCACCTCTGCCCATCTTTTCCTCTTTCCCATTCAAGGTCAAAGAAACGTTTTCCTACGTATGCACGTAAGTGGATAGCCAATATGCAAACACATTCTTTTTTAAATGCTCTTATTTGCCCTTATGAAATACTGATTTGGGGGAGGGAAAAGATGTGCACAAACCTTCTAGCTGGTGACCTCAGGATCACTGCTGTCTAGAGAAAATTTGTTTATACATCTATCCTTAGTGGATCTCTCAATGTTGCAAATTAACTCTTTCATTGTTACCAAATGTAAAAATCCCAAGATTATACTAGGAGGACGTTACTGAAAACTCGGTAGTATTTTGAAATTCTGGCTTAAATAAAAAACAGCACACAGGTGTACAAAACACCAGCACACGCATTTTCAAAATGACCAGGGTGTCTGAGGGAATGACAGCTTGGTGGGGCAGCATGTAGAAGTCTGAGAAGATCCTATCCTAATCTGCTTGCCAATGTAGATGGGATTTTTGCAACGAAACCCTAAAGGGAAACACATCACATGGATCCACGTTGCAGTCCCACAAAATGCAAAATCCAAAAAGCAATGATATAATGGAAAAGAAGACTCACGCCTGGAAGCAGCCTAGATGCTAAAGCCATCCTACAGATGTTGGTTCACTTCTATTACAGGAAGAGGGATACTATAGTCATAGTTTTAATTTTATTTTGCTTGGAGCATCAAACTCCTCCAGAAGTCCATTTCTTCTTCTGACGGGACCCCACTGGCTCTCTGTTTCCATCAAATCCTGACAAGATCTTGTCTTACTCAGACTAGCAATTAAGATATAAAATAAAAACCCAACCAAACCCAGATGTAAAGATTCCAAGAGCAGGTACAAGTGGACCAAGCTTCATTTTGCATTACCTACAAAGCAGCAGCAAGTCAAATATTGGATCGGCCGGTTGCTTCTTAAGCCAAGGAGATGCGTCAGCCCACTGCCTTGATCCATATCTTGGGCATCACACAGGCTCTTCTTAAACAAGCAGCTCATTTTTAATGTTGCATATATTCAGCACTGGTCTTATCTACCCAAAATCTCACTCACTTATTTTAAATGGAGGCAACATTGCTCTAAGACCAGAAGGAAGTTATATCCTTTGAGGAGTTTGGCAACACCCAGCCATACCCTTCTAGGGCTCCCAAAACATCTATCCAATTTCATTTTGATCCTGATTCAGCTTAGGCTAGATAGCTCAGATTCAAGACGTCTCAAGACCAGCTCTCAGCTCTGCTGTGCAGCTCCCAGCTCCCTTACTATTCCTGTTTCTTCTATTCCAACAGAGTTGTCATCTTTCACTGGACTCCTTCAGTGCCACCAGCATTTCCCTCTGGGGCAGCTATCCTTCTAGGACTCTTCAGGAGAGGAGGAGAAAGAGCTTCTCAAAGCAATTTTGAAATTACCCCGACAGCTGGCAAAGAATGGCCGAGAGTTTACTTCCCTGCCACCACATCCTCCCCGATCCTCCAGTAGGTTGCTGGCCTCGGCGGCTGACATGGATGGAAGTGAGGTGAGTAACGCAGCAAGATTGCAAAGGCTCCTCCAGCTTCAAGGGGACGATCTCTGGCCCCAGGCAGGGTGCATTTGAGCCCGCTCAAAGCAGGCTGGACAGGGATGTTCTTGGCTTGTCTGAACTCCTGAGCCCCTCAGGGCAGAGAGATCCCCAGATGGAGGGGAGCACAAAATGAAAGGATACCCCACACTTGGGGGAGGGTGCTGGCGCAGCGTTGTGGCTGTGAAGCCGCATGCAGGAGGGTAGCTCATGCAAAGGCAGTGGCCCAGGCTTTCGAAGCACCTGCGGATGGCAAGAAACGGGTTAACTGTAGCAGGCTTGCTGTGGGAACAAGCTTTGTAGCAAATTGGGCCCCCATCTTGCCCTGCTCCTGGAAAGGCCCCTGCTCAGCCCTTCTCTGACAGGGTCCTATAGGCTCTCAGATCCTCCCTCTGAGCCATCCTGTTTTACTAATTGTGCAATTATGCATGGGTAATGGATGTGCTGTGATGTGCTGCCATATTGTACAGGTAGTCCTTGCTTAGCAACCACAACTGGGACTGGCAACTCCATCACTAAGTGTTGTGGTTGCTAAGTGAAACATCATGTGATCTCAACTTACAATTTTACTTCTGCCTTCTCTATTAACTCTGCTTGTCACAAGCCAGTTGTGAAGCACACAAATGGTGATCACATGACTATGGGACACTGCAGTAGTCATAAATGCATGCTGGTTGTGGAGCCCCTGAATGGCAATCATGTGACTGTGGGACACTACAATGGCCATAAATGTGAGGATTGGTCGCAAAGCTTTTTTTTTACACTGTCATAACTTCGAATGGTTGTTAAATGGGGCAGTTGGTAAGCAAGGACTACCTGTAGTAAGGCAGCTGGGCCTGCAAGCAGCTCTTGGGGCCACAAGTGCCTGGGTAAGTGATGGCCTGTTGAGTGAACCAAAAGGATCAAGAGAGACATGCTGGTGTAGGTTTTCATGGCTGGCATCAATGAAGCAGTGATGAGCTTTCAGGCTAAATGGCCGTGGTCTATTTTATTTTATTTCATTTTATTTTATTTTTCACTTTATTTTATTTATTTTATTTTACCACAACTGCCGGCAAAACATCAGAACAAAATAAAACTAGACCACAGTCATTCAGCCCAAAAGCTCATCACTGACCAAGAGAAACAAAGGAGGAGGAGGAGGAGGAGGAGGAGAAGGAGAAGGAGAAGGAGAAAAGAAGAGACTTTTTCTTAGAGAGGAATACAAATTGTGCATTAAGTATGCTCAGAGCTATCTGGAATAGAGTGGCATTGAAATAAACAAACAATTTTACTGTGTCTGTTCTTATATGAATTTAAAGAGTAGAAGTTAATAGGTATCATGCTTATAGGTTCTCCCGGTTGTATTACATATCTGGCAAGGAGGGGAAGGGAAGGGAGGCTGAGACTTTTCAGTTCATTCCCCAGCACCAGCTAAAGTTTGGGAAACAACCACTCATCAGTGTAATATACAATGTAATATGCTTTATATCCCAGAACCTGTTTGGCACTGTACACTTGTGTGACTTTTGCATCTGTTTTTGTATACTGTTACACATTTCCAAATATATTTACGAGATTCTCTGCAGCACTCTTTTCATGGCCCACTCTCTCTACCTGGGAGAAACCTAGTGACCTCCTGATGTTTTTGCCTCTGGTTCTTGACAGCCCCAGGTAGCAGAAACAATGGCAAGGGCTCGTTCAAAACATCTGGAGAACATGAGAAAATCTGCCCTGGTCCTATAGGATCTCTGCTACAACAATACAGGCTATTTGCCACCAGCAGCACTGCTGCCTCATTTTCCTCTTCCAGGGTAGAAATATGATGCAGAGGAAGGCACACAAAATGATCTAGGGAAACATTTCACAATTCATGTTGACTGTGGCAACTTGGCAAAGTAAACCCTGGCATACCATGATGATGGATCCACAGACATCTCATGGTCACACAATACCCTGAACTACTAATTGGACAATCACTATAAACAAGCCCATGAGATCTGTATATATAAGAGTGTGTTATATAAACCCAGAAACCTGGATGAAGTTAACCAGAAGTGAACTTGTTTTGTAAAGAGAGCCATACTAATTGTGACAGTCCAAAACCTGTGCATGAGCAATTTTCCTCTGCTAAACAAACTCTTCCGTCTGCAATCCTGGAAGCAGCGATTGGCCTTCTCAATCTAAGCTGGGTAGATTGGATTCAGTAAAAACCAGGATCCAAAGAAACCTAAGCTGATGTTAAGGATATAATATTTTTCTTCAGTGAACCCACCTCTGGGGGTCACCATTTTCCACGCTGTCCTCCAGATGTTGCCTCTCCGATTTCTTCACCCTCTGCACCTGGTCCCAACTTGGTGATATGGCGCAAAAAGGACGTGGCATTGATTGCTCGCTGCAAAAACAAAAATGGGAATCAGACCCCCAGATGAACAGAAAATGGTCTCAACTGCTTTTACTGCTTTTCATAGCAGCTTGAAAAAAGTTACCAGATGAAACTTATCAATGGAACTCTTAACCTCCTGGTATCCATTGGTGGGTTACTGCTGATCAGCACAGCTATAGAGGTGGCTGTAAAGCTGGGAATCCGAGTTGGGAATGAGGAGATCACGTCTCCCTTGACTAAAGAACACAAATCAGCAGATAATCAAACAATCCAAAGCTGGGATTGTATCCAGAATTGCAGCAATCCTGGCGCCATGAAGTATTGGTTTACTTGTGTGTTTGTTTGCTGAAGGAACTCAAGGGGGTAACATAGCTTTCCCTCCTCTACATTATTGAGCAAACATAACTTTTTGTAAATATCAGCCTGAGTACAGAAGTACAGCCAACGAAAAAGGAAGGGTGATGTCATTTATTTTTATTTAGGTATAGTTTTAATCCACCCAATAATCAGAACACGCTGGGTGGATTACAAAGTACCCTAACACAGTAAAACCCAGAAGTGAAACTCTAATCAATAACAGAGGAGGAAAAAAATACACAACACATGCCCACATTCCCCAGTTTTCATGGATAGCAGAATGATTTTGGTTGAAAGGCAAGCTTTCCCAACTTTCTCAACTTGCCATCTAAAATGTAGATTCATCCATGCTTAAATCAAAGCCAGGTTCAGTGCTGCCTAATCCATATTCCTGGTAATAGGCAACAAGAACTGGAGCCAAAAAAAGGGGACCCAGAGGAGCAAGGGGGAGACTTCACCAGGCTCAGCAGGCCCTCAGGGCTTGCAAAAAGATAACTTTTTAAAAAGCTGAGAGAGGAAGGTTATACGCAGGAGCTACAGAATGAAAACAAATCACAAAAAGATGGAGTTTGAATGCTGTAGAGTCATCAAGAGGAAGGCATTGCTCACAGGAATCTTGACAAGGAACACTCCTGTCAAGAAGCAGAAGACATCTGCTAGCGCCTTTTCAGACTAGCCAAGTTAATTAAAAGGTACCAGCTTTTGTAAGCTACAGCTCTATCCTGTCAAGAAGGTGAGAACCAAGTGCCAAATATTGCAGCAGGCTCCTCTTACATTTTTCTACTGTTAATGAAGCGTCTCTAAAAAGACACAATCCTACTAATCCAGGCCAGAGGATTCACGTAGGGAGATGTATTACAGTTACTGAAATCCAGTTCCAGTATCTCTCTCTTTAAAATTAAAAAGGGAGCACAGACGGAATGCAGAACCATCCCCATCTCGAATTAACCTTCAACCTTTGTCCTTACCTTCCACTGACTGCGAGCAAAGTTCTTCTGAATCTGCTCACACACAGATCCATGAATATCCTTCTCGAGAGCTGTATCCCCAGAGATCCTGAAAAATATAAAAGGGAGGGAAGTAGTTTCAATCCTCTCAGTGTTTGCTGTACTGTGTGTGGTCCATTTCCCTATTCACCAGAACTTTTGGTTTACCCCACCTCCTGGGCTTCAACCACCCTACCAGGTCTTTGAAGGAGAAAGGGGGCTTGATGGCTTTGCTACTCATTATCATGGGAACTGCTCAGATTTTTTTTTGTACATAACCAACCAAATGCAAACAACATTAAGTAACAGCGTGATGGTGGTGGAAGCAGGGGATGCATACAATTTATCTTATTTCTTTTTTGTGTAGGGTGGGATGAGGGATTTCTGTTTCTCCAGGATCTGCAGCAGCTTAGAACAGGGCAGGATTCTTTGCTCTCTGTCCTCAGCCTTGAAAGATCAGCAGAAGAGTCTTGGAAAAAATTGAAGATCCATAATCCTTTTAAGGGATTGAGGGAATAGGAATGGAAATGGTAATGATGGGGAAGAATGGTAAGAAAGAAAACTTGTCCCCCCTCAGGTAACAAGACTTACCAAGGATGTTGCAGAGCTTGTTCACAAGTGAATCGTTTCTCAGGGTCCCGTTCTAGAAGATGTCGGATGAAATCTTTGGCTACATGGGAACAGAAACAAAAACCTCATGATTTAGTCTAAAGTTACCAGCAAAAGCATTTTTCTGGCAACCAAACAGGTGTAATAGCTCCTGTTACGACTACATTCAGTATCTCAGCTACTAAACCATTACTTGTCACTTAAGGTAGCAGGGTGAGATGGGGGTGTGCCAAGTGATAGCAATCTATGCCAGCTTACTGCCATTAGAAACTGGTCACAGTTGCTGAAAATCTGGAAAAAAAGCCACTAAAAAAAAGTCTAGTTCTCATTGAGATGGTAGATCAGGGGTGTCCTGGAGGTTGTTAAAAGAAGTCAAGATGGCAGCTGCAACCTTGTATTCAAAGCCCTGCCCTTATTCTACATGCAATGCATGTTAAAAGGAGGCAGGGCTCTGATCACACAGTCACAGCCACCATCTGAAATTTTTTTTACCCCTCCCCAAGGATGTTCCTGGTGGACCTTCCTTTGTGCATCACAGGGTTTAACGATTCTCTTCATACCTTTGAGAATATGAAGCACAGACAAAGAGGAATATAGGAGCAACTGTGTACTGAGAATTGGAGGTCTCTTTGCTGCAGGGGCGAGCCTGGTATCATGGGTGAAATCCAAAGGTAATAGGGATTACTGTCTTAATTGTCATTGGTTAATCCATTCATGCATTATTTTACTAAGGCAGAGGGCGGATTTTTAAAATATGAAAATTTACTCCAGCAACTGGGGAGAGGGCAATGGATTAGCACATTCGACACCAAACTCTAGCTTCATACTTACAGAAACATCCTTGATGCTAGAGAGAAAAACTAGTGTTGAACAGAATGCTTCAAAGAGTTCTAAAATCATTACACCAGGATTCACACACCTTACCAAAACATGATTTGCTTAACCACAGTCTACTGAACAAACCACAACAGCCTTGGTTCATACAATACACTAATCCATGGTCTACATAGCATAGTGGTTGGAGTCACACCACACTCTAAGCTAAAACCGAGCCTTATTATGACTTAACACTACTTACAAACCCCCAATACATTAATTCCAGCTCCAGCAATGTGCCCTCCCCAAACTAGATTGGCATTTCCCTGATCTCTTTTGGTGACTGGCACCTTAGAGACTAGTACTGGTATCTTCCATTGTCCCAACTGTCAGCTGTCTCTCCTTATATGCACCTAGATTTGCTTTCTAGACAATGTAGATTTGGAGGACGCAGAGTGCTTGTGGGAAGGGCACAGCTGTCATGGAGGGGGTCATCCTCTTTTCTCTCTCTTGCCACTGCCCCTCCTCCTTTAGCAGGCTATTAAGGCAGGGTAGCTAAAGACTTGAAAAAATCTCAAGCAATAAGGGAAAAAGCTTCTCAAGGACCAAGCACTGCAGACTTCCCACCCCCGCATGTAAGAGCCATGGCTTGAATGCTCCTGTCGGAGCCATACGCTATGCTGATAAGCAAAGATTTCTTGCTCTGGTTAAATGCCATCCAAGTAACCCAGCAGTAGTTCTGGCCCCCAGCTCTCAATATAGTGGCCTTTGGGACAAACTGGGCATTTTGATATTATGGCATGGTCTTCCACTGTTGCCAGTCAAGAGGCAAGAAAGGTGAACAGAGGTTTGTGGGATTCTTCCTATTCAATTTTTAACCTGAATTTTCCAGCCTGTTTAAATCTATAAGAGAACACACCGCCATCAACATTTTGCAACTCAAAAGATACAAAAAATGCATATATAAAGGAAAAATGCATATATTAAAGGAAAGTCCACACAAAAGACTATGCACAAAAATGCATTCTGTTAGAAGAAAAAGACTTGCAAAATGCACACTAGGCAAAAAGCATACAGAACATGCATTTGTCGTTGTTGTTGCCAAATGTGAATCCTGATGAGGAAAGGGGGCCAACCAGAAGATGCAGGTAGCAAAGTGAATGGGATGGGTAAGGCATGGCATCCCTGTTTTTAAGGCACAGGAGTGAAGCCCTCCCCCCAGTCAATATAGATCCCCTTTAGAGAGAGAACCCTAACCCTAACCCTAACCCTAACCCTAACCCTGAGCAGGGCTTAACCAAAGGCTTCCAAGTTCAGAACTGGGAAGAAGCCCTTCCCATGCCACTTCCTCTACCCAGACTTGCACTCACCTGACTCAGAGATATCATCCCAGTATGGAGAGTCAAACTCATACTCAGCTTTCAGGATCTGGTTGAAAAGTTCGGAGTCGTTCTCGTCATAGAAAGGAGGGTAGCCACAAAGTCTGCAGGTTGGAGCACAGGCATCAAATCTCACATACTGTATGCATGCAAAAACATATTACAAGTTGCTCCTTGTGCTTCTAATGCAAAAGGCTGGATTGTTAGGAGGTAGAAAGGTACCCACAAGATGTAGGAGATGACACCAAGTGCCCAGGAGTCCACAGCTTTTCCGTAGGGCTTCTGCTCCAGGATCTCAGGGGCTGCAGAGGACACAATGGCCAAGAAGAAAAGGGAGGCATGGGGCTTTATTAAGAGCCATGCTACCAATTCAACCTTGTGCAGCTTAACATTGTTTTATACTATAGTATGAAAAGAAGAAACAGTCACTCAGTAGATCAACTACAACTCCCACCAGTCTCAGCCAGCATGATGAGCCTGGGGTTTGGTGAAAAATATTAAGAACTGTAATCAGCAAAACCTAGTAGTTACAGATTTGCTAAAAAGTAGTGCTGATCTTGCAAACTCCACTCTTCCATTGACCATATGTGCTTACAGCCAACCCCCCACCCCCATGGTGGTGCTCAAACTTAAACCAAAAAAGCACTGTTCTTTTTCTGTACTACTAACCACTTTGTTAGCTGAAAATAAAGAACAATGAACAGAGCTCATGATTTGGAGTTCCATGGACTGCAAGAAGAACCAGCCAATCAGTCCTGGGCCAAATAAAGGCTGTCTCTTGAGGTGATGTTCAGCAAGCAGACATTCACATAATTTGGGTATATGATATAAGCAGAAGATGGACTAGAAAAAATTATGTTCGGAAAGACAACAGATAAGATAGATGAATAAATTCAGAGAGATCACTGAAATGTTCTTGGAACAGCTTGTTGCTGATCTGGAAACAGATCAAGGTGGCAAATATTTGTGCATGCAGTCAACAGTTGAATCCAACATGATGGCACCTAAGTGACTAACTAATCCTGGAATTGTGTCCCTATAATTAAAGTGCACAGCTATTTTCCAGGCTACAACAGTAGGATTCCCATGTCGATTCAGTTCCACTGCTCCGGCACCTCCCTGTTTTGGTTAAATGTAATACAACCCTTGCTTTTATTGTCAGTATTTGAGACAATTGCCAGTTGCAAAGTCTTGTGCTAATTGTCATCTCTTCCTGACATATCTATTCTCAGTCCACCACCCATGTAGCGTCCAAGCAGGAGACTGGCCTACTAAAGAAACAGTAAGGGTTTAAGAAAATACATGATAATCCCAATTTCCTTTGAATCTAACTCAAGGCACCTACCCTCTGGAACAGCATCCCCCCCCTCCCCCCGAGATAAGGATTGCGCCCTCTCTCCTTGGGTTCTGAAAAGCTCTGAAAGCCTGGCTTTCATCCCAGGCCCAGGGTTGATGCATTATGGCTTATCAGGGCCCCTAGTCTTGTTTGATTTTTGTTGTCTGTAAGATTATTTCAGTCTGGGCTGTCCATTTGGTTTAATGTTTTTATCTATTTTTATGGGGGGGGGTTCCTGGTTTTGTGCACCGCCCAGAGACCATTGGAGTTGGGCAGCTTATACGTGCGTTCAAATAAATTAAATAAATAAATAAAATGTTTGTGTATTCCTTGCTTGGATGAAAGTCATCTTTAGCTCACCCACTTGTAAATGAGCAGATGGGCTGCGAGCAGATGGATTATGAATCAGAATATGGGATGAAAGCATTACAAAATCTCAGTTTGTAGGTGAAAAAAGGAAACAGAAAAGAAACAATCGGTAGCCGTTAGAGTTGGAAAAAACACCCCTGATGGTTCTAAACCCATTGGGGGAGGAGTTTTAAGGTTTCAGGTTGCAGTTTCAGGCCCTTATATTACCCCCTGGTCAAGAATAGTGGAGAAGATTAAATGTTGCCAAAAATCACAACATGTTCTGTAAAATATTTGCATAATTTAGTCTTTTCTCACCATGATTGTCTATTATCACTGAACATGGAATTGAATTATCGGTTTGCTACAGGAAGGGGTTTGCACATCTACACAAGGGGGGATATTAATACAGAATATATTCGGCCCCTCACCCTTCCCCATTGTCACACTCACCAACATAGCCAGGGGTTCCACAAGCTGTAGACATGATGCCATCAGCCTCAATTTTAGACAGCCCAAAGTCTGTAATCATAATCTTGGCATCCTCAAATGGTGTGGCATATAAGAGATTTTCAGGCTGTTTGGACAAGCAAAACAGAGTAGAGATACATACATCAAGTTTTATATCTCTCCCTTCCCCCAAGGATCTTAAGAGTTTTCTAGTTTATCTTCATGGATAAACTAGAACAGGATAACAGGACTAACAAGTTAACAAGGATAACAAGAGTAGGGCTTTCCCCACTCGCACATTTTTTCTGCACTGTCATAAAGACATTGCCTTCATCCCCACCCCACGAGTGACAGAGGCTTAAATTGTCTTTAGCTGTACTGGTATTAAAGTAGGGTTTTTTTCCCTTATTCCAACACCTTCCAAGGGCAGCCTTGAGATACACATGCCTTCAGGGGTGAAAAACAGATCCTTGTATAGATATGTCTGGCAGCAAAAATTCAGAGGAACATCAGATGGCAGCAAAGAGATTCCGACAACTCTAATTCTTCTGTGCCATCTAATGGCCATCTCCCCTTCATGGATCGGTACCTTGCAGTGGTAAAGGGGCTTGTACATTCCAATAATACTGTGAGCTACATTGCTGGGATCGTAATTTCCAGGAGTGTCACAAACAAGGGATCATAACCAAACACAATCCACTGGGGAAGGAAATGGCAACCCACTCCAGTATTCTGCCAACGAAATGGACGTTTACAGCCAGGAGAATCTCAAAATGATACTGGACAACGAGCCCCCCAATTTGGAAGGTATCCCACAAGCTATTGGGAACAACCAAAGGTAAGCACAAATAGCACTGGAGTTTATGATGTGGCAAAAGCCAAAAGGATGTTCAGCTGCTGATGTGTCCAAAAGCAAAAGGAAAGTCTGAAGCTGCAAAGACATGTGCACCACTGGCCCACAAAATGTCAGATCCACAACTGAGGCAAATGTGATGCTTTCAGAGCAGAAATATTAAGACTGAACATTGACATCCTGGAAATCAGCAAAATGAAATGGATTGAAATGCATCACTTCACATTAGTGAGACACCATATCTTCTGCTATGGGCAAGAACAGAAGAAATGGAGTAATCATCACTGTTAACAAAAGGGTGTAAAAGCCAATGCTTAGATACAACTTAAAAATGACAGAATGATCTCAAATGAGTCCAAGGCAAGCCAATCAATGTTACAGTGATCCAAATCTATGCTCTAACCATGGGTGCAGAGGAAGTTCTATGGCAACATGCAGCACCAAAAGAAGACATCATGCTAAAGTTGGGGT